GAACTTGCTGCTGTTAAAGATATTTTATAGCCTGGGATGAGCATATTTGTGACCCAGCTAAGAGCGATGCGCTCTCAAACCTGATGCATCCTCATGTAGCTCTCCTCAAATATAATCAGACTAGTGAGAATTCTTCTGCGGGGAGTGAAGTGCACCTTGAAATTTTGACTTCAGAAACTGAAAATGAAAAGTCAAATGAAATGTGTTGTTCTCAGAGCCCTGAGACTAAAGGGAACCTAGGGAACTGCTGAGGCAGTCCACATTGAAGAGACTGAGGAAAATGAAACTGAAGAGGAGCAGGAACCTCACAAGGCAGTATGGACCTTGCCCCAAAGAACTGAAGATGTCTGGTATTATTATCCCCCGTTCCACAGGACTGCTAAATGGGTTTTTCCCATTTGTGATAAAAAATTATGAATTTCTAAACCATAAAAAAGCTATCTTTTTATTTGGGGAAAAAAGAGAAATTGATAATCATCATGAAGAATCTAATGCTGCACACAAATTTTAAAATTCCATCAAACATGTCTGGGCTCCTAGAGAGGCTGGAGGCCTCCTTTGTACTGGTGTCAGACAGAGACTCAAGGGGCTTAGAGCTATTCAAAGCCGAACCAGAACAGGAGTTGTTTGGTTGTTGAAATCTGCTTGTAAGGAAAAATTTCCTTGGACCAACTATAGTCATACTCCCAAGGCCCCACATGCAACAGAGGATGCTTATACATCCAAGCATGCATGGGTTTTGAATAGTCTTCTCATTGGAATGCATGATCAAACAGGGCGAATACTGTACGATGCAAATGTCATTGGAACACATGCAAGCATAAGAATTCACCTGCTTCTGGGACAAGGTGGACGGTTCCAAAACAATGGCTTTTTGTTTGTGTACTGTTGTTTTTTTATGTTCGTATAGATTACTATTGTAAAATGCAGTCCTCTGGCTAGGGGGAGGGAAGAGTTTAGATTGAATGTTCATATGTCCTAATTGATGTCGGCATATTTTAGTGCTAAACTGTGAAAGAAGGTAGATGTTACCACCCTTAAAATATACATTTCTATTTTAAAAAGAATTTGCTTTTTCAGAACCCTGAGTCAGGTAGAATGGTTAGTCTTTTTCTAAATTCTACCAAGAAGACTGAACACCCGGCATAATACAGTCCATTCCTTGGGTTGTGAAAGTAAGAAAGATTTCATTAAAATTAATGCTACCTTGGATACCTGGGGTTCACATAATCCTATTATTTCTAGTTTTACAAATTTTATGTTAATTTATAAAATTAATATGAGTATATTAATTTTAGTAGCACACTGTAAAGATGTCTAAATTTTGCAAATTCTTTTCTTGCTGTAATATTGTCTTTAGATAGCCAATTTCATCCATGTAATTTCAATAATATTTGAATTTTTTCAATTATTTGGGCACCAATGTCCAGACATTTTTAACATTAAAGGTTTGCTTTCAGAATTTGTATTCTAGCTTTTGTGTGCCAAAATTGTTCATCTACTCTAAATTGCAGGCATAATAACTGAATTTTGCCACATAATTTGGGTGATTACACTGGTAAATGGGTAATTTAAAATGGAGTTGGCCAATTTGTGGGCACTAATTCAGACTTGGGAAGGCACATTTTCTTCACGTATCCCTCAGTTTTCTCATCTGTAGAATGAAGGGGTCAGGCTAGATGATCTCTTGGGTCCCTTCCAGCTCTGAGAGTCTGTGAGTCTGACTTCAGGTCAGGAAATGCAAAATTTGGTCTCTGGCATCACAGTGCATACATTTTTAAATGCCTCTAACTTATGTGTTTTTTAAAAAAAATGTTTTATTGGACAACTGGGCTTGGAGTCAGGTGGGTCTGGACTCCATCCGGTCTCATATATTTACTAGCTATGTGACCTTAGGCAAGTCACTTAACCTCTCCCAGCCTCAGTTTCTTCATCTGTACAAGGATAACAGTACCTATGTTACAGAGTTATAATGATTAAATGAGGAAATACACGGAGCCTGATTATTGTTGGGTATCCTTCAGGTAAGAAGATCAGTCCATCAAAAGTGTGAACTATGTGTGAACATGGCCTAGACAGCACTACTTGGTCAAGTAATCACAGGATGTGGACCAAGTGAAAAAAGTACTGGAAAGTCATTCAGTTAAAGGGATTAATGCTGCATAGGAATCCATTGGTATTGGCTGAGGGAACTTGATCACACCCTATGGATCATCAATTGGTAACCTGAATATTAGAGCGTCTGTTTGGGAGGAAAGATAACAATAGTAATAATAGCTAGTATTTATATGGCTCCTACTACGTGCCAGGCACTGTGCTTGGCCCTTTACAAATATGCTTTCATTTGTTACTTACGATGACCCTGGAGGGAAGGTGCTGTTGTTCTCATTTTAGAGAATTTACAGAATTTAAGTGACTTGCCCAGGGTGATACAGCTAGGAGTATCTGGGACTGGATTTGAACTTGGGTCTGTCTTGCCTCTAGGCCCAGAGTTCTACCCACTGCAGCCACAAGCTGCCTCCAAAGAGAGCTGGTCTGAGTCCCTAAGATGATTCACTTGTGCCTGAGAACTGCAGACTTTGTCTTGGTCTCCTTTAGCACCCCACTGTCTGGAGGAAGACATCTTGAATTTCGGGGGCTTTTTCATCAGCACCCCGGCAGCATTCTAGGACATCTGTAGTGTCTGTATTAGGAGCTAAGGAAAAACTAAGCATACTCAAGAATATCTGTTTCGTGACTCTATGGGGAGCCCAGCCGGCAAATCAAGGTGCTACCGCAGGCCTAAGAGGAACGCATGGATACCCCATAAGGAGGAGAAGAGCATCATGGGAACAGAGGATTACGGACAGCCGGAAGGTCTCAGAGGTGGAGTCCAGTCAACTGCATCATTGACAACAAAGCTATGGCAGGATAAGATATTTGGGGAAGATTGTTTTAGTTTAAATGATGGGAGGAGTAAAAAAAAAAGGCAAAATTAATAGTATCAAGGCATTTAAAAGCAAGAAAAAAATCTAAACCGCTGAAGCTTCAATAGCTGTTACTTTGACGGGATCACGAGATACATAAACCACAGAAAGCGTCTTGGAGAAAATGTCTGTTCCAGCCTTACTTCACATGCAACGGGGAAGAGGGTACAACTCACTATGGCCGTGGGTCAGTGCTTCTAGCTCACCTTCAGCGGGTCCCCACGGCCTGGAATACCTGGCCCCTGCAATGGCGATTTTGAGGGGAGGGAGGTGACTGCAAGGGGATGGTGGGCCCCAGCTGGATGAGGGCGTTGGTGATGTTCTTGGGGAAGAATGTATGGAGGTCTCCAGGGAGAGAGAAGAGCTGTGGAATTTCTAGCTGAGGGGAGAAACTTCAGGGCAGGGGAGAACAGGATGACGAGACCACAGGAAGCCGTGCGTGGTTCATTGTAGAGCTAGAAGCAGGGGTACGCTCCCTCCCCAACACGTCCCTCTCCATTTGATCTCCTTGGAGAAGTTGGGACAGGAAGAATTTCCCCTCTATTCCCAGAGGAAACAGCAATGCCTCTGCAAACCTTCAGCCGAAGTGTCTTCAGGCACACAGGCTAATACTAAGGCAGCAAGATTGAGAGGGAGGTGACATTGAACCCCCCCCCCCCCCCCCCCCCCCGCTGAGTAAAAAGGATGTGATCCGGGGCTGCTGCTTGAGGGCACCAGCCTCTTAACCAGGTCAGTGTACCGCCAATCTGAGGGATGCCTCTCCTACAGGGTAAGGCGATGGAGTGCTTACCTGGGAATGGTGCTCACTTTGGGAAGGTGGCAGCTCTCTTGGGTGCTGGGAAGGCTTCTGGCTTGCCTTAACCCCCTTTGTGTATCTTTTAAGTAAATGTTTTTTCTCTTACAACAAGGTCATGTGATTATTTCTGGCTGGATTAGGGCAAGGATTCAGAGGGGGAAAGCGGGGCTTGGATGCTGATCATTGTCCCTTCTCCCTCTATCCTATTTCATTTGATCTCAGCAGGTCTTGTGGGTTCCATTATCATCTCTATTCAGGTCTCTCAGATCTACTTGTCCAGCCCTAACCTCTCTCGGGACCTCCACCCTTACATCTCAGACTGAACGTCTCGGAAATGTCTTAAACTCAGCAAGCCCACAACAGAATTCATCACCTTTCCTCTGCTACCAGCCCTGGTACTGTGGAGGGCAACACCATCCCCCAAGTCCCCCAGCCTCGCAACCCAGCTGTCGTCTCCTCACCCCTCCACAATCAATCCGTTACTAAGGCAGTATCTCTTGCATCTGCCCCCTTCTCTCCTCCGACCCTCCCACCATTCTGGTCCAGGCCCTCATCACCTCACACCTGGATTACTGCAAGAACGGGGGTGGTGGGGGGGTGGGGTCCTGCCAGACCACCTCCGCTAAGCTGTCAGAATGATCTTCAGCTCCTTATTAGACTCAATACAGACTTCTCAGCGAGGAACTCAAAGCCCTTCACAACCTGGCCCCCTCCCCCACCCCATTTCCCTTAATTCTAGCCTCCCCCTCTTACTCCCCATTTTCCCTTGTCTATATCAAGTGTCTACAGGGTAGTTTACACGTGGGCTCCCCCGTCAGACTGTGTGCGTCCTGAGGGCAGGGCGGTCTGCTGTTTCTAAGCTGCCCAGCCCTTAGTGCGGTGCCTGGCACACAGTAGGTGCTTAACCAATGTTTACTGACCTGAGTGTACTATCTACCTATGAGAAAGACAAGACGGGCAGACATAGAGGAAGAGACAGAGAGAGAGAGCGCGCTAGCGAGCGCAAACGCGTAAAACCCGAGGATTTTCAAAGAGGAAGCGGAGGAAGAAGGACGAGAGAACCGAGAACAATAACGCGCCCACGACATCAGCTTGGTAGGGCGCGGCGGCGGGTTGCGCGGTGACGTCAACACATAGCTGCGCCTACGCCGCCGCAGTGGGCGAGGCCGCGACCAGCGCGCTCCGCGCCCCGCCCGGCTCGCTCTCTCCCTGCCCCGCCCCGCCCCGCCCCGCGCGCCGGCCCGTCACGGCCCCTCCTGGTTCTGGACGCTGCTGCCTCGCCAGTCTCCCCGACCAGGCCCCGCGGACGTGGAGCGAAGAGGCGGCAGGTGAGCGAGCGAGCCCAGGGGGGAGGAAGGGAAGCTCGGATCGCTCCGTACTCTCACCGCCCCCTTAGCCCGGACACCCCATTAGTGGGAATCAGGGCCAGCCACTCCCCGGGAGCGGCCCGGCGACAGAGGCAGCCCCGCCCCCTCGCCTCTTCGCCCTCTCCTCCCGCCCTCTTCTCACGGGGGGGGCGCCCCTCCCTTGCGAGCCTGCGCAGAGGGGGTGGAGCCTCCAGGCCCCGCCCTGGCTCCCTCTTCTCCTTCCCGTCCCTCCCCGCTCCGCACGCAGCCCCTCCCGTAGGAGCCTGCGCAGCGGAGGAAGAGCCTCTAGGCCCCGCCCCCTCGCCCCCTTGCTGTGAGGCTGCTAGAGCCTGGGGTAGGTGGGTGCTAAAAACCAGGGGGGATGGGGCGGGATAGCAGAGGATGAGATGGATTGGGATGGCAAGGGATGGGATGGGACGGCAGGGAATGAGATGGGATGGGGTGGATGGAATGGAATGGCAGGGGATGAAACGGGATAGGAGAGGATGGGCTGGGCTGGGGTGAGACCTGGGGAAGATGCCTGAAGATGCCAGAAAACCTCTGGCCTTGGGGCTAGGAGTCACCTGGGAGCAGGGATTAGCTTCGGGCTTTGCCTTACTCCCTGGGTGTGACCTTGGGCCAGTCCCCGACCTCCCTGGTCCTCCCTGGCCTGGCTTCAAAGTCTCTAAGCCAGCACGTTTTTTAAAATGGGGCTGGAGTCTTCCTCTCCCAGCGCAGATTGGCTCCTGCATTCCAATTCAGAGCCTCAGCGAGTTGGCCAGGGCATGAGGGGTGCTCAGTTAGAACCCGCAACCCTGCTTCTGACCCCAGATGTTCATCAGGGTAACCCGGGGGTAGGATAGATGAATGAGTGCTGGATGTGAAGGCAGGAAAGAAAACCTGGAGGGATCCCAGCTCTGCCACTCGATGGCTGTGTGACCCGATCATCAGGGCCTCAGTTTCCCCATCTGACGGAGAAGGAAGCTGCACTGGAGGACCTCTGGGTCTAAGTTTCTGGTCCTGTAGTTATAGGCCATAAGGACAAATGGCAGCCTTCCATGTTGCCTGGAGAGCCTAATTAGTAATCTGTGTCCATGTTGATTCTCCCTTAGTAGACTTCCTAAGCTCCGTGAGGGACAGGTGCTGTTTTATTTTAGACTTTATACCTGTGTGCCTGGCGTATCAGTCTTGCTGGTGGACTGACCCAGGGCAGTTCTCATAGGTGACTTGGTGGTGCCCGTTGCCAACCTGCTACGGTCGCCTATCTGCATCCCAGTGTGGAATTTACCATGCACACGCACACCTTTGAAATGACAGGGAATGCCCCCCCTCCCCCCAGCAGGGATGATAATACTGATAGTCTTGGCCTGGTAGGATTTTTGTGAAGATCCATTGAGCTGAGATATATAAAGGACTTTGCAAACTTCAAAGTGCTATTTAAATATTACCAATTTTTATGGGGAGAGGAATGAGGTAGAGAGTGAAGTCTGGGGGTCAAGGTCTGATGGGAAGAAGGCTGTCAAATGGGGTGGTATATGAATGTCTGAAGGCCTTTGGGCTAAGGCTTGGAGATTTGGAAGGGAAATCACGATTTGGGGACGTGGCAGCCTACAGAGTTGGGGAAGCCTGATTGGAGGATATGTGCTTGTCAGGGGAAGGGGGCTTGAGGATTTTCCAGGGACTGGGAAAGCCGTTGTCTGACCTAAGGTTTTGGAGGTCCTTTTTCGAGGTGACCATAAGGTTTGGAAGCTTAATCTGGAAGCCAGATCCATCCTGGGCCAGGTTTGTTGACGAGCGATTCTGGGGAAGTTGCCTTTCGCCAAGTGTCCCGGCTGGTGCTGGCTTTTCCCAGAACAGGTTTGACAGAGCTTGTTCCTTCTCCATTCTTTGTCCCATTGGGCGTCTTTAGTTACCAGACTTCTGATCCCGTGAAATTTTATTGCTTTCTTGTACTCTGGTCTCCTTAACTAACAATTGTAGGACCAGAGGAGTGATTCAGAGGCTTTAACAATGTAGCTAGAATTCCTTATAAGCCACACTCCTGTTCTGCTGGTATATGCTACCCACATGAGTTTGGCCTGTGGAATCTGGACAGATTTGGTGTGGAATCCTGCTCTGTGACAGGTAACCAGGTGTGTCCTCCTCAGCCCTTAAGAGTCTGTTTTCTCAGGATTCGTGGGGTTAATGATACTTTTTTAGCTACCTCAAAGGGTTGTTGTGAGGGTCAAAAGAGGTAATATGTGTGTGTATGTAAGTAATATATAATTTATATAATATATCAACATATATGTAAATTATTTATGTATATATAATACATGTATATATACGTCTTCAGTTCTGTTGAATTCAGTGGATATTTATTAAGTGCCTACTATGTGCCGGGTACTGTGCTAAACAATGGGGGTATAAGAGAAAGAGAGTCCCTGCCCTCAAAGAGCTTACAATCTAACGAGGGAAGACAGTGGGCAGAGGGACATACACACATGTATTACTATGCAGACCTTAAAGAGCTCTGTAAATGCCAATGATTTTGATTGGGAGCTGGAAGGGACCTCAGAGGTTATCAGTCTCACGCCCTCATGTTATAGCGAAGGGCCTTTGTCCAAGGGTGCCCAGGTCACCTCCAGTGGGGGAGGTTTCATGGTACCACATCTAATTTTGTCATTTTAGAGATGGAGACACTGAGGTCCAGAGAAGTTTAAGAAGCTTTGACGAGACCCCCACAGCCGTGAGGAGCCCTGATTTTCAGTCAGTGTTCAGGTTTATCCCTGTTGCTCTTCTCTGTAGAGGTCAGTCACCACTCCCTGAGAGGCCTTTGGGTCCTAGCCTTGGAAGGGATTCCAGTGATTGACTTAGGCCTGCCTGCATTTCGTAGATGAGGGAACCGGGGGCAACAGAGGTCAAGGGACCTGCCCCCTAGCAGGGGAAAGGAGCATTTATATCGTGCTGATGGTGTGTCAGGCACTGTGCCGAAGGCTTTATAATTGTTATCTCATTGCGTCCTCACAACAACTGCTCTTGTTATATCCATTCTACAGTTGAGGAGGCTGTAAGGCAGAGAGAGGCAGACAGGGCTCAGATGACTTGCCCAGAGTCACAGTTAGAATGGGCACATGGTGCCATCTACCTGCCTCCAGGCCTAGAGACGGGAGACAGATCCTCACGTTCCAGGATCCTCTTGGGGAGTAAGGTGTAAGAAGGGCCCGGATTATGAAGAGCTGTACGTGCTAAATAGAGGAGTACCTATTGGAAGGTAATAGGGAGCCACTTAAACCCCTTGAGCTGGGAAGTTACGAGGTCAGAACATGCTTTGGAAAAATCTCTGTGGCAACCTAGTGGAGAGGATGGTTTGGGAGAGATATTGGAAGGGTAGTGCCGTAGAGAGTTCTGGTGATGAGGCCTGGCTGAGTAGAGAGGCGAAGACCTTTACAAGGTGTGTCGTGAAGGCAGAGATGACAAGAACTGGGGCGAGGAGTGACTCTAGGATGGCGGTCCTTCTGACAGTGATAGGGAAGGTCAGAAGTGGGGAGGATTTGAGTTTTGTTTGAGACTTGTTGGGACATCCAGGTGGAAATGTCCAGAGGCTGGTTCATGATGTAGTCCTGGAGTTCTGGAGACATACTCGGACTCTGCCTGTCTACTGATCTGGGAGTCGTCTGCACGGAGATGGCCCTGAAACCCATGGCAGCTGATGGTGTCACCGAGAGACAGACAGACAAACAGAGATGAGACAGACTGAGAGAGAATATACAGGAGAGCCCTGGACAGAGCCCTGGGGAATTTGTCACAGTGGGTGTGGTAGAGATGAGAAGCAGGTCTGGGAAGGAAAGGCCCGGGCTTTAGAATTGTAAGTGGGGAGTGTGGAGGCCAAAGGCGTAGTGGTGAATTGTTAGAGACCAGCCCCCCCCCCCCCCCCCCCCCCCCCCCCCCCCCCCGCAGAGTTCTTCATTCATCCATTCCTTCAGTTAATTCATCAGATCTTTGTCAAAATGTTTCTCTCCTGTGTGTGCTGGGAGCTTGGGGCAATTACAAAAGAAGTGTGACGCCTTCCTTTTGTTCTAGAAAACATAGTCTGCCCAGACTGAAAAGAAGCTTGAGGTGGGGCACAAAGAAAGTCCAGCACGATCTGGAAGGACAGGGTTGAGAGGAGCCTAGGCCTGTTCACACAAATCCGCAAGGGGACAGGTCTAGCCCTTTGTGTTGGAAGGAGTTGGCTTTAGGTCAAGTGAAAGGAAGTGTGACTTTCCATAGCTGGGCATAAAGGCCTATGAGAGTAATTAGTATGCAAAGTGAAGTTATCCTAATAGCCCCATGGCTTTACATGTAAAATGCAATTTTTCTTAAAAATTAAAAAACAGCCAACCAACCCTGAAATATATAATTGCAAATAGTTTCTTGAGGAAGATCTCTATTTTCCTGAGTAACACTAAATAGATGTCATTATACTAGGTGCCTTTTATTTTTCTGCCAGCAATAGAAATTGGATCATTTAATTGAGACTTTCCCCATACCTGCAACAAACAAATATTAATTAAGGGGCAGTATGGTGTGGTGAGTTGGAGTCACCAACACCTGGCTTTAAATCCTACCTCAAACAGTTACTAACTGTATGACTTTGGGCAGCTCACTTAATCTTTGTCTACCTCAGTGGCCTCATCTGTAAAATGGGGGAGGGGTTGGCTTGATGGCCTCTAATGTCCCTTCCAGCTTTAACCCTGTGACTTAAAATGTGTCCTATGTTCAAAGCACTATTCTGTTTGGGTGAGACAAAGTAGAAATACGAAAACCTCTGTCCTCACTGAGCTTACTTTTTATTAGGGTAGGGGGAGAAGAGAGAGAATGACATGAATACAGATAATGGCTCTTTATGTCCCACCTTAAGATTTGCAAGGTGCTTTGCATATATAATTTCTTTTGATCCTCATAAAAGCCCTATAGGGCTGAAGCTGTAGGTTTTATTATCCTCATTTTGCAGAAGAGGA